TTACTTTTAAGATGGCATTAGGATTCTAACCCTGGGGCTAGGAAAGGATGGGGGGTAAGGATTTGAGTAAGGATGGCTCCCCTTGTGGGAAGTAACCCAGGAGTTAAGTCTCGATGCCCAAAAGGAGTCCTTGTTGGGTGAAAGGGGTGTGGAGGAGGAGGGCAGGGTGGGGGGCTGGCTCTGGGCGACTAGATGGAAGGGCAGAGTAAAGGAGTGGCGTGTGACGTGGTACAGTGTATGGGTGAAAGCAAAGCACTCAGCATTGCTCCAGAAACAGTTTGGGGGGAGGGCGCGGGGGTGGGGAGCAGGTTACAGGCCATGGAAGACTCTGGTTTGACCCTTTACTCGTTTGGAGGCTGAGCTCTGTGCTCCAAGACTAGACAAGCTCAGAACTAGGCGTGTCTGAACGAACAGGCTCAGGAAAAAAGGGAGCGGGAACTCGGGGTCACCTGTTTTCAGGTGTGGCCTTTGGCTTAGACCATCTTTGGGGCTGGTGTCTGGGAACTGCTGCATCTACACTTGCCCCTCTTTTCCGGGGACCCACTGCTCCTCCTCTCCCCCTGCGGCTTGCTCTAGAGAGTGGGGTGCAGCGCTGAGAGTCATGTGGTCACCTCCTTTGTCCCTTGGCAGGCTCTAGACACTGCTCACCCCTTCAGGCTTTGTTGAGAATCCTCCATATGCTAAGGGCCGTGACCCTGCTACTTCTAAGTAATCTCCTTAGATCACTTACCCAGTGTCTCAGGGTCACCTTTATCCCTGCCACGACCACGCCATCTGTGTGAAGTCCAACGGGCTTTCCTCAGGTGCCTTAGTCGGGAGCGGGAGCTCCAGGCTTCTCAAATCAACGGCACAGAAAAGAAACGTAAACCTCCCGTGAATGTTCTCCTTCTCGGAGTAAGCGATCGCTCGCCAATCTTTCCTCTTCTTTTCGCTTACTATTTCAAGCAGCCTACGGAAGACCTCCGGAAGACTGTCTGGGCATCGGGCCTGCTCTGTTCAGTGGTACACGGGGTCTCTGCCTGCGTGTGGGCACTGGCTGGAAGGCAGACAACTGCAGCAGCCTCTGTGCAGACAAACAGGACTCAGCCCAAACTAAGTGGGCAGCTCCCGCCAGGCAGAAGACTGGTATATGAGCATCCGGGGCGAGCCTGGCTCCCTGTTCCAAAGCTGCCAGGTTCAGTGGTCTACTCATGTCTCCGCTTACTCTACTCACAGCACCCGGGAAGCAGGTGCTGGCAACGGAGGGCTGCTCGTCTTCTGGGAAGATGCTTAAAGAAGGGGCAGTGGGTATGACTGCATGGCCTCTTGGCCCCGCCAGGCTACTTTACACATCGCCGCCAGACTGACCCTTGTCAGGGCCGGATCACGTCTCACCTTTGCTTACAACCCTCCAGTGGCTTCCCCTTCACTCGCCTCATTCAATATCTGTATCTTCTTTCATTCCTTTGGGAGCCCTGATGGTGCAGTGCTTATGCATTCAGTGACTCAGCGCAAAGTCAGCAGTTCAAAACCACCAGCTGCTCCTTGGAAGAAAAAGGAGGCTGCCTACTCCTGTAAAGAGTTACAGTCTAGGAAACCCACAGGGGAAGTTCTGCCCTGTCCAACAGGGTTGCCATGAGTCAGAACTGACTCGATGGCAGTAAGTTTGGGGTTGTTTTTGGTTGGTTGGTTGGTTGGTTGGTTGGTTGGCTGGTTGGTTTGGTTGGTTTTAGACACCAACAAGAAGGTAGGGAGATTTCAGAAGTGGTGCAAAGAATTTTCTGGAAATGGGAGGGCTGGGTCCAGTGCAGAAGGGCTTGGTGATTAGGAGGAATGTAGGCAAATATGGTCCTTTCTGGGCCAAACTAAAGTGGACCAAGGCCAAGTCTGGAAGCCAAGGGCTTAGGTAGTGGGAATCAGTGCACATGAGCCAAATAAATTGAGTTATAGATTTTTAAACCCAGTGCTGGGCTCTTAAAACTTGAGGGAGTGTTTCAGTAAACTAGAGGAAAACCAATTAGGGGAAGAGAGAGTATTGGGGGGAGGGGGGGCGGGATGCCTTGGCATGGGTTTTAGATTACTTACCTGTGTCCCCATAACTTGTCAAAACAGGAAGAGTTGGCCAGGATTCAACTCAAAGGCTCCATAGGTAGCACACACCCACTATCTCAGGAGTGGCTCCGCCCCCAGCCCCTGGTCATCTTCAGGGCAGCAGACGGCCAGCTCCAAGTTGTGATGTGAATCATGCCAGCACAGCACTCTTGGCTTGTTCTGGAAGCAGATGCCAACCTGAATTCTTTCCCCTCTTTCAAGTAAATCAGGTTCGTTTGTTTTTTGGGGTGTTGTTTTTTTTTTTTTAATGTAACAAAAAGGTTCAAACATCCACACTGGTACTTGCCTGCAGACGCAGACATGTTTACTCAGGAGGCCCATAGATGTGCCCAATCTGCAGGCTGACTGCACTTCCATTCAGCAGGGGTGGCCTGTGGAGTGCCCTAAAAGCACCACCCAGGGGGCTGAGGACCATGTGGGCCTGTGTCCGTCCCCCGTCTCCCCACCCCACCCCACCCCTGGCTTCTCACGCTGCCCCATCTTAATCTGCAACCTCTGGTGTTGAGGTAGAGAAGCCCCACCCCTGGCCACAACCCTCAGCTCTTCCTCCTCACCCTAGAAACTCAGAAAAGGGCCCATTCGGCACTCTCCCAGGGGCGGGGCACAGCGGTGGGAAGAAGCCAGAGCCTAAGTGGCTGTGAAGAAAACTTCCCGTTCTGACACACGCAGAGGTGAGCGCACAGACAAAGGGCGGTTGGCACTGGGCCGGAGAAGAACAGCTCTCGGTCCAAGGAGTGGCTGCTCCTGGTAAAAAGGCCTCCAGATTAACCCTTTCAGGGCTCTGCCCCTGCTTCCCAGAGGCAGGGCAGCCCTGAGCCCGGAGAAAGGCGAGCCTTCTGTCTGCACACGAGGAGACTCGTGGCACCCACCGTGTTGGTGGGACCGGGAGCAGTGGGCAGCCAGCCCAGGGCAAGCGCGTGCTCTGCATCTGCCACGGTGGGGACTTGGGTCCAGTTGTGAACCGAGCCAGGGTGGCGCCGTGCTTGCTCATTCAGCTACTGACCGTAAGGTCAGCGGTTGGACACCACCAGCGCCCTCCTCGGGAGAAAGAGCAGGCTTTCTACTCCCGCAGAGAGTGACCGTCTCAGAACCCACAGTGGCAGGTCTACGCTTGCTGACCGGGTCTCTAGGAGTCTCTATCAGCTCCATGGCCGGAAGTTTTCTTGGATGAATAGGGAGAAGGCATCCATAGTTCAATGGTAAGATTCTCCCCTTCCATGCAGCAGATCAGGTGTGACTGACCGACAGCACCCCTCAGGCACACCCACCACCGCTCTGTCACTGGAGGCTCACAGACTGCCGTGATGCTGAGCCGCATTCAGCAGAACTTCCAGATGAAGACAGACGAGGAAGGAAGGTCTGGTGATCTCCTTCCAGAGGTCAGCCAATGGAACGCCTGTGACGGCAATGATCCAATCTGCAACTGACCCTGGAGGCGGCACAGGACAGGGCAGCTCTTCATTCCGTTGTGTGTGAGTCAGGCCACCATGAGTCGGGCCACTTCGATGACAATTAGGGACCGCAACCGTAGCCACAGACGGGAGCTGTACAGCCTGTCTCTGGAAATGAGAGGTGACATTGCTCGCACCATTTTGAGCCTGGCCCCCTATAGAAGCAGGGTGACATCCAAAGAGAGACCCAGCGCCCACGTTGGACAGCCCTTTCTCCATTCTGAATGCCACCCACCAGGGCAACTGGCTTCAATCCGGCAGCTTCATCCTCCACCTTCCTCACCTCCCTCACCCTTCCCATGTTCCTACCCCTCAGGGGCAGCAGCATAAGCCCGACCTGGAACGCAGCTGGGAGATGGGGAGGGCAGTAAGCAGTAACCCTCCGTGAGTGCCACAGGCTGTCATGCCTTGCCAGCAAGCCTGGTCTTGTTGGCTCCTGTGGTAGCTTCCAGAAAGCTCTGTTTGTCCAGTGGGAGTTAGCCCCATCCATGGAGTTGAATGAAAATAGGGAGCCCTTGCTAGATGCTGATCATCAACACCACACACACACACACACACACACACACACCTCTGGTTCAACAGTCAATGAAGCCCCCTTGACTCCCTTGTCACACTTGTCAGACCACTAGACTTAGATCCTTCCCCTTGAGGGTCAACCTAAGATCCACTTTATGCTGGGGTTGTCCCAGAACTGTCAACAATGACCATTTTGTATAATGGCTTGTTATCCCTTAAATCCGTACATCACTAAGCAGCCCTCGGGCTCCCAGCACTGCTCTTGGTCCTCCATCATCTGAATGTCTTAGACGCAGAGGACTGAGCAACGAACTGATGGCTTTCATCTGTAGACACAGATCCTTCTGGTCCCAGGATCGACTTTCTCCTGAATTATCTGGATACACAGCCTTCTGGAGGCTTCTCCAGGATGGATGACAAAGGCTCAGAATGAATGACAAAAGCATTTTATTGAAGAGTCACCAGAAGATGGGCAGAGGGCATGAGGAGAGTCCAACAAGACGTTGAGGGGTTCGTGTCCTGGCCCTGCAGGGCCGCATGGTGCCAGATGATGGAGAATGAGTTTGGTCCTAACATAGAGGCGTATCCAGGATCTTGTGGAAGCCAGCACTGAGCTGGAAGGGGGCATGTGGAATTGGAGAGGAAGCTCTTGGTGATGTGTCTGTCTCCAGCATCCGTAGGAGGTGATCAGTCAGCTGACACTCCACTCATCCCAGGTGGGCCACCAAGCCCAGAGGGAGAAGATGCCTCCAGACTTCAAGAGGGCAGAGCCCAGTCCCAACCACAAAGGTCATCCAGGAACAGAGGACACGCAGGGGACAGCGGAGGGGACCCTGGTCAGATGAGCCCCAAAGAGGAAAGATAAAGGTAGGGCGATGGAAGCACAGAAACACCGGGACTGGGCCCAGCTGGGCTCAGAGGACTTCAGGGACCGCGCCTCCTCTATCGGTATCTCTTGTTCAGGGTTGGGGTACAGATGATCTTGCTGCTGGAGCTGCCGCAGACGCCACCACCAAACCCAAAGCCGCTTCCGGCACCGGAGCCAAAGCCACCGCCCAGGCCACATCCTCCGCCCATGCCTCCGGCACTGGCAGCGCCCCCGACAACAGCTGAAGAGAAAGGGGAAACAGGATGGGAATTACTCCAACGGGGCTGACCGTTAGAAGACCCGTCCCCACCAAGGTGAGCCACCCCACGGCCGGGGGAGGCCAGAAGGACTTACAGATGCTCACAGCACTCTGGCATTCTCCGGACATCCTGTGGAGGGGCAGGGGGAGAGAGAGCAGTGAGTTGGAGCAGAGCTCAGCGCCTGAGCACACCGCAAGCACCTTCCACAGGTGCTCACTCTAGGCGCAAGGCTTCGCTTGGCATCTTCTCATCCTGGCAATAGTCAGCTTTTGAGACCTGAACATGCACCTGGTCTATGGTCTTGGTTCATCATGTACCTACCGTTAGAGCACTTAAGCAAGGACCCAGGAGAGGTGCAAACTCATGACCCTAGAGCCCCTTCATCCCTCATGTTGCCTCCCTGCCCTACCACCCTCACCGGCACTCCTCGCCCTCCAGCAGCTTGCGGTAGGTGGCAATCTCGATGTCCAGGGCCAGCTTGACGTTCATCAGCTCCTGGTAGTCACGCAGTATCCGGGCCAGCTCCTCCTTGGCCTGCTGCAGGGCGGCCTTGAGGTCCTGGAGCTTGGCATTGGCATCCTTGAGGGCCAGCTCCCCACGCTGCTCTGCGTCAGCCACAGACGTCTGCAGAGCCTCGCACTACGGACAAGGGAATTGGACCGTGAATCCTTCCTACCCTGCTCCCGAACCTACACAGCTCTCCCCACTCCCTGAGCGCCAACTTTCTTTGGGTGTTGAGATAGCAAGAGTCTGTGCTGCCTCTTGACTTCGCTTGCTTTCTAACTCCCTTCCTTTCACATTTACATCCCTGACATGTAATCCACTCTAGCCAGGAGCCCCCACTGCCCCCACCCAGATCATGAGCTGAAGATGAGCAAAAAACTCATGAGGAGCCGAGAAATGTGTACTGAGGTGTCTGTCCTGTCCTGCAGATCTGGGTCCTGTTTATGTGAAGAGCAACAAAGCCTCTTTGGACAAGGTCAGGGTCTTCTGCCCTGGTGCCTCATCTGTTCATCTCCAGTGAGACATGTGCTTCAGGGCCTGGGCTCGTACTTGGGTCGGAAGTGGGTGCCACTCACCTGCTTCTTCACGTTCTCGATCTCGGCCCGCAGCCTCTGGATCATTCGGTTAAGCTCCGCAATCTCCATCTTGGTGTTCTTCAGGCTGTCACCATGCTGGTCCACCGAGATCTGGAGCTCCTGTACCTAAGACCCAGGAGATGCAGGAGGAAGGGGTCAAGGGTGTTTGACTAGAGTCCATTCTCAAGTCATGGCCACAGGTGGTGAGAGTGATGTAAACTACGAGGGAGTCCCAAATCAGGCCAGGGTCCCTGCTTCCTGACACCAGGAAGGATCCGTTCATTCCTGACTTTTCATCTCTTGAGCTTGCATAGACTCAGGTACATCCAAGGTCAATCCCGGTAAATCGTTCCCTTCTGCGGAGAGACCCTCCGCACTCACCTTGATCTGGTACAGGGCCTCGGCCTCAGTCTTGCTCTTCTGGGCAATGTCCTCGTACTGGGCCTTGACCTCGGCGATGATGCTGTCCAGGTCCAGGCAGCGGTTGTTGTCCATGGACAGCACCACGGATGTGTCGCTGACGTGAGTCTGCATCTGGGCCAGCTCCTGCCAGTTAAACATTTCCCATCAGTCCCAGAAACCTTCCATCGCCATAGAAACAGCTATGCCATAGGCTCAGGTGGACGCTGAGTTTGCCTTTCCATTACATGTGGGGCAGGGAGTAAAGCGCTCGGTAGGAATCAAGTAGTTCGTGGCATCTCAGAACCGGAAAGCAATTCCCCTGGTCTTTACTGCTCCTTGGAAACCATAAGACACTTCATGTCGAATGCGTGGGGTTTTCACTATGTGGGACAGAAGTCGGATAGAAACGGAGTGAATCTATTCCACCAAAGGAATGAGAAATCGCAACGAACCCTACCCCAAGCAATCTTTCCCTCGAATCCTTTCTTCCAAGACACCAGCTGGCTCTGAGAAACCACGCCCCCACCCCAGTTGGCTCTCACATTAACTCGTTACAGCTGCAACGTTGCTGAGAACCCACTGCCCTGAAGTAAGGAGGCTGGAGTCCTTTCAAGGACCAACAGCCTCTAGGGTCGGGGACCCTCTCTCTCCGAGTGGAGGTGAGTAGGGTAGAGTCCTCACCGCCTCATACAAGGCCCTCAGGAAGTTGATCTCGTCATTAAGGGCGTCCACCTTGGCCTCCAACTCCACCTTGTTCATGTAGGCAGCGTCCACGTCCTGCAGAGGAGGAAGGGGGATCAGATGCAGGAAGTGCCATGGGAGCGGGCTACAGGGTCATGATGAGCTAGAATCAACTCCATGACAGTGAGATTGGTGGAATTGGAAAGGTGTTCTTCGGAGAACCAGAGGAGGTGGTGTGGGAGCAACCGTTTGATATACTCTACCCCTAAATCCACCTGCAGACATGGAAGGTAATTATCCTGATGGGCTTTCTTCCCAAGATCAGTTCTTTAGAACCTGGCTCCATTCACACCCTTCCCTTGCTTGCATCACCGAATGAGATGGAGGCGAGGCAGGGAGGGCCCAAATCCACAATTCAAGGCCAAAGACCCCTCCCAAAGGGAAGAGGTACCCTCAGAGCACTTTTCGACCCCCTTCCCCTCCTACCTTCTTAAGGACCACAAACTCATTCTCAGCAGTGGTGCGCTTGTTAATCTCGTCTTCATACCTGGGAGGAGGGACAAAAGCCAAGGTGCCCGGTGAATGTCTGTTTCTCAGATCTCTTGCTTACTTGAAGACATCTAGCTCCTTGGACCCTCCGGTTATTTGCTGTGTTTTCTCGTGTTCGTTCAGTTATTCATCCAGCACAGTAATTATCACGTACAAGGTGGCAGTCTAAAGCCTGGTTTATCCAGATACATGAAAATCAAGCTTGAAAGAGGTTTTTCAAGAGATCCAATATGGGGTGAAGGGAGACAGTGGTCGGTGTAAGACATGAAAAAATATTTAGAATAATTTATAAATTATCAAGGGTTTCTGGGGGAAGGAGGGCAGGGGGAGGAGCAGGGGAGATGTGGAGCTGATACCAAGGGCTCAAGTAGAAAAAAAAAGTTTTGAAAAAGATGATGGAAGCATATATACAGATGTGTTCGACACAATGGCTGTATGTATGGGTTGTGATAAGAGCTGTAAGAGCCCCCAATAAAAGGAAATTTTTAAAAAGGGAGAGATCCGATATGAGAGAAAAACAGCAGTGATCTCCTTGGTTTTATTTCCATAAAAGGGCTAGTCTTTCAGCTATTTGGTGGGTTAAATTCTCAGGACTGGTGCTCACACTCCAGTCTCTTCATTAGGAGTGAGAGCAAATTGAGAGCGAGAGAGAGAGAGAGAGAGAGAGAGAGAGAGAGAGAGGTCATTGTCTCAATCATGCCATCATGGCTAAGCATCCCTCTAGGTCATGTCCGGCACTGTGCTATGCACTTGCTCGGTCTCATTCCTTTCACAATCCTACAAGACAGGAATAGCATCCCCTCTGTAAAGATGAAGGACACTGAGGTTCAGAGGTTGTGCAAACGCCAATCAGTGGAGGAATCTGTATTCAAGCCAGGTCTGCCTGCGTCTACAACTGCTTTTCATCGGCTGGCTGTCTGAACCTGTTTCTATATGGGAAGATCCCTGACTTTATCTCTCATTTTCTATTTGGGCAACACTTGGAGTGTAGACTCCAATAAAGGGTGATGATGTGGATACAGGGAAACGGACTAGATTGGCCATCCTGTGCTCCTGGAGATGTCTGGGAAGCCCGGGACTCTAAACCACTGGAGAGAAGCCCGGGAAACCGGGGACCGGTCCAGGCAGATGTGTGTGTTGGACGGCATGCCTTCCCCCCTCCCACGTACTTGGTCTTAAAGTCCTCCACACTGTCCTGCATGACCTTCAGCTCAGACTGAAGACGCCCTTTGTCATTGGCCAAGCCATCCAGCTGCTTCCTCAGGACAATCAGGTAGTTCTCAAAGAAGGGCTCCAGGTTTTTGCTGGATGTGGTGGTTGTCTGCTGTTGAAGGAGGTTCCATTTGGTCTCCAGCACCTTGTTCTGTTGCTCCAGGAACCGCACCTGGATTGGAAAAGGCGGTCGTCAACTGACAGAGAAACGGAAGTTTGGGCAGGAGGATCAGTCAAGACCAATATGCACCCAGTAAGTCCAAGCCAATCGGGCAGTCCAACAGCACCACCATGTCGTTCCCTACGGCCAACATGGTGGCCCTACTCCTGAGCCCATCGCAGCAACTGGGCCATGTGGGCTCCAGAGAACAGAGCACAAAGATTGGCAGGGTGGCAACAGCAACTTCCTAACCACAGGGCCCACTGGCTGTGGGAGTCGTTGCTGGAAAAGAACACTGACCACCCATGAAGTAACGGGATGATACAATGAAGAGAAGCCCCCACGGGCAAAGGAAATATAACTTTAGGCAAGATATCTTTGAAATAAGCTTATTTACAAATGGGCCCAGTATGCCCCCTAGGGACATGTGCGTCTCTGACTTTAGCTGTTCAGGATCGAGGTCTAGATGTACTAGAGTCTCAGCTTAAGCGGAGAAGATGTCCTTGAATGTGACCTCCCTCTACAGAAAGAGGAGCCAAGGTCTCGGCTTAGCACGGCCGTTCCACTTGAGGCTCTTCAGAACCGCAAAGGAAGGCCATGAGGGTGGCTAACCGGCATTTAAACCCAGAAAGGGGTGTAAGGTAAAGTGAGGTAAGGAAGCACCAAACCCTTGGCCATGCTTCCAGACCTGTGGGCCCTGGAGTCACCAGAAAGCCCTCTGGGTCCACTCCATCTAGCAAGCAGAGCAGGTGTTCCCTCTCAGTCTACCCCACAACGATTCACAACCCAGGCCTAGAGGACTGGGATGTTACTGCAGGAGATTCGGGACAGGCTGAACCACAGCATTCCCCGCCTCCATCCAGGCATGGGGGTGGGGGTGCCTCCACTTTCTGGGGCTGATCTGCTCAGACTCCTCCGTCATACCTGACTGTAATGATCGAGCTTAAAGGACTCGCCTCTCCAGAGGAATCGTGAGGAAGGAAGTTGGGCTACAAGAAGAAGGAAAGGAAAGCCCATCCAGGCTTTCTTTCACAGATCCGGAAGAGGGAAATCTTGCCCAGGGGCTGGGGAATGAAAGTCCTGGTTTTCCCATCTGCCTGCCCAGCTGGAATCCTGCTCTTGTAGAAAATCAGCTTGTGTTTTCTTCCGCTCCAAAACCAGAAGAGCCACTAGTTTACTTATTAGCAGGAGGTCATTATCACAAGCACCTCCATGTCCATTTGTCACACAGTGCTCTAATTAATTCATGTAATTAATTAATGGGGGCTTGGCTGCGTGATCCCCAAAACCAAAGTCCGAGACCAAGCAGGGATAGGATGATCCTGCTTCAGAGTGAAGTGAATGAGCAGAGCAAGAGAGGCTACATGCTGCGCCTAGCCGTCCACAGCCCACCCGACAACTCCAAACAGGTAACTGTTTTGGGCATCCTCCCTGCCCACTAGCCCTGGAACAAAAGAGAAAGACTGAGCAACGATTCCTCTTTTCTATCTGAAACATTAAGTTCCCGAGAAGTTCAGGGTTTCCTCAATGCCCAGGGCAGACTGCGGTCTGAAGGCCTGAGACCCTGGAACCCTAACTTCTACCAACCCCTGTTGCCCAAGGGACCAGCTCACCTTGTCGATGAAGGAGGCGAACTTGTTGTTGAGGGTCTTAATCTGCTCCCGCTCCTCGGTCCGAACCTTCTGGATCTCAGGGTCGATCTCCACGTGGAGTGGAGTCAGCAGGCTCTGGTTGATGGTGACCTCCTGGATCCCTCCAGGAGGGCAGACAGGAAAGCCAGGACCCCCTCGGCCACTGAAGGAGCCCCCAAATCCACCACCAATGCCGCCAGCGCCAAAACCAGCACCAAATCCTCCAGCGCCAAAACCAGCACCAAATCCTCCAGCGCCAAAGCCTCCAGCACCCCCAAAACCAGCGCCTTGCCGGGGGCCAGCCACGCTGGAGCAGATGCTCTTGTTCCCCCTGAGGTTGTAGAGGCTCCTGCTGCCAAAGCCCCCAGAGGAGCAGCGACCTCCACCCCCGGACACCGAGAGGGAGCTGAAGGCAGCCTTCCTGCCCCCTCCCACAACGGCTGAGCCACAGCTGAAGCCCCGGGACCCGCCTCGGACGCACTGTTGCTTGGAGATCATGGCTGGAGTAAAGCGAGCAAGCTCAGAGGTGTCAGAGAGAAGAGAGAGGGGCCAGGCCAGTGAATGCCTGACTCCTCAGCCTGGGTCTCTTTTATGTGCTAAAGCCAGAGGGCTTGGTAGCAGGGGCATAAAGGGAAACATCTGAAACATCACTGGGCTGGGCCCTTGGCACAGGGCCATCCTTCTCGTACCTGCTGAGCATGTCACAAACACACCTACAGAAGTCATTTGGAGGGCACCGGTTATTAGATCCCCACACATCCCCCTCCAGCAGAACTTGAACTGGTGCCCCAGGGCCTCCTGGATCAGAGGGCCCTACCATCGCCCAGTCCTCCAGGTCCCCACCCACTGCACCTCCATCTCACCAGCCCCGTGGAGGCCTCTCTGCTCAATGCCAGACACCCCACCGCCTGTTCTCTCATGCCCCAGAATTGAGAACCAGGGGACCCGGGTACAACTGCACAGCCTGCCACAGGGCAGCACTGCAAGCCTTCACCCTCACAGGGTCCGTGGCTTCAGCTAGAAGTCAGAAATAAGGTCGTGGCCTTTAACACCTCTCAGGACACAGGGAGCTGGTGGATCACGACTAATCGGGTGCCTTGTAAATGGTCAGAACCGGGCATATAGATGCGATGATAACCACGATCATTTCTTCAGGCTCACAGTACACATGCAAACAGGGAAGCGATCCTTATTCCAGTCTTGAACCTGCCAGGTTTCGGTCAAGACTGCCCTCAGCGTGAGTGCTATGGGGAACCCATGACCACACCGTGCTGGGCACCAAGCTAAGTGAAAAACACAGAAGAACCTCCCTATGGACACCCTGACTCTGATCCCGGCCCTCAGGACACCAAACATCTTCTCGGGTGGGGGGGTGTGCACACAACTCCAGATACGCCTGCTCTGGGCCCGTCCTACCTCTGTGCCCTCAGCTCCATTTGCTGCCTCGCTCGGTGCCTGGTTTCCCCGGACTGAGCTCGGTCCATTTTTCCGTAGTGCTGTAGTTCCAACGTGTTGGCCGAAGTCAGCCGTCAGTGGCCTTTAGGTGCTGGGAACTCCTCTGGCAGCCTGGTGAAACCCACGGTTCCTTCTCGGAGGAAGGCTTGTAAGTGCCAAACCATGACCATATGCCTCCAACTTGCTCCTTCCCCACTGAGTGCAACAGATCTGCATTCCACTCCCCCCCCAGCGACCACTCTCTAGCTGTGTAGCCTGGGGCAGCTCCTCTAACGTCCCAGAACCCATCACAGGTGCACCTTGAGCACCTGGCATGAGAGTAGGTCACGCGGTGCCAGGGCCCTTGGTGCCCAGCACACAGTAGGTTTGATCCTCTCCCTGCCCAGACTCTGACGTTCCCATTTACAAGAAGTAATTCGATACATTACCATGCATTTGGCTCATACCTGGGGAAGGGGCTATTCTCGATTTTGGAAATCCTTCTAAATGTGAGGTGTGGCAGCGAGCAGGGCCTGGATGATTCCCATAGGCCCAAGCTGACCGTGAACTGGCCACGAGAAAAATAAATTGCTCCCTGCAGGCAAAAAGAAAGAGCAGGGTGCTCCGCAAGAAATGATGTCATGGACAGTGCCCCCCCCCCCCGTGCCTCAAGGCCCCCCCCTGCTCTTGTCACCCTACCTCTGCTCTGCACCTCCCCTTCTTGGCCTTACACCAGGGTCTTTGTTCTCCCTGCCCCTGCCCAGTTGGCTTCTCACCAAACGAGAGGCTGTGGCAATGAAACAGAAGAAGCCTCAGATTCATCCACGGCCCCCAAGAGAAAGCCCAAAGAGCCGCCCGCTGGAAGGGAGCATTCTAGAGCCAGGACCCTGTCCTCCATGGGCTGGGGCTGAGCATTCGCTCACCCAACCAACGTATATCCACTGAGCCCCCGCTTCCTGTCAGACACGGTGCTGGGTGTCTGACACATGTGTATGATTTCATCTTCTTCGAGGACCTCATGGCAGGGAGCGTCGGGCTTGCTCACAGCGGAGAACATGGGATCTCAGAGAGGTAAAGTAGCTCCCAGGGTCACAAGTAGCGTATGATGGAGCCGGGACTCAAAGTCACATCACCGTGGTCCCAAAGGTTCTAACTCTATCAACTTAAGCCCAGAGCACCCTGCCTGGTACCCAGTCAACTCTGTCCTCTGCGTGGCTGTGGGAAGTGGGCCCAGGAGCAAGTCTGATGGGGTGGACTGTTTGGATCAAGAGGGTTTCAAGGTCACTGGCATCCCGGGAGCTACCTGTTTCCACCCTGGCCCCAGGACAGGCATGGCTAGGAAAGGATACCAGGCTACTCCAAGTCTGGGCTCACGGGCTGGGGGCTGCAGCTGCTAGAGCAGAGAAGACTCACAACCCACCTGACTGGGGAGCTAAGGTTTTATTGTCTAGCGTCCTACTCTGGGTGGGGGGAGACAGCTCACCGAGCTCTCTCCCTGGGGGGCTGGAGTTCAGACCCCCTAGCTAGCTCACCGGCTTCTCTGTGCCTCATCTCCACGGCGCCACCCGCCTGGCTGCCTGCTGGTGTGATTGGGGAGTTTCATGAGCTAGGAAGCGGGTTTGTATCAGCACGAGGGAAGCCCCAGCGGGGCTCCGGATACTGAGTTGTCTCGTGTCTTCATTGGCAGCTGCAGCACCTTGCCAGAAGGAAGTTTTGTGCTACGATGAGCCAGCACAGTGTCCAATGGTGTCCAGTGAGTAGACAAAGACATAAGTAGGGTGTGGGGGCAGTGTGGGGAGGGGATGGTACGTTTCATGGAAGAAACTCTGTAACGCAAAATCAACCTTATGTTGTGCCCGTGGTACCCCGCCCCCCAAGCCATGGAGGTCACGAGTGGGGGACTTCTCTATGAAGTCAACCCTTAATTGATACACACACACACACACACACACACACACACACACACGTCGTCTCTGAGATGCCACGTTGAATGAGGGAAAGGCTGAGGGGCTTCACAGGCTGAGGGGGCTTCTCTTGGAGAGCACCCAGGTGCTGGACACGGAGCGAAGAGCTTTTCTCCTAAAGGCTCCACTCCTCACAGTCACCCTGCCAAAGATGCACGGCTGTGGCCACTCCCAAGGAGAAAGTATAGAGGTGCCAACACTGAAGTTCAGAAAGGTCACATAACAGGCCTGAAATCACACAGCTGGTATGCAGTAGAAGCAGGGTGCCAGTTTCGTCTCTCTGGCATGTGGCCTTATTTCTACACCGCATTGTCTTAGCTCAGAAATTCTTCTCCACGTAGAACCTACAAGATCCAAAAAAATTTAAACACCATGGCATTGTATGCAGACCCCTCGCTTCTAGTCGCCGGAGCAGGGACCGGGCCTTGGCTAGCACGCTGCACATTCGGAAGAGGCAGTTCCAGTCCCTGCTGCCCTGGCTTTCCTGGCCTCATCGATCGCTTGAGTTATGTAGCCCTGTCCTTTGAAACCACCCCTGGGAGAAAGATGAGACTTGCTACTCCCGTAAAGAGTTACAGGCTCAGAAACCCACAGGGCCAGGTCTGCCCTGTCCTCCAGGGCCACTGGGGGCCAGCATCGACTCCACCGATGGCAGTGAGTTTGTTTTTGTTAGGGTTGTTTTGGGTGGCGGGGAGGTATTGGTCCTTTGCTCAGGAGCCCTGGTGGTGCAGTGGTTACGAGTTGGGCTACAAGGCACAAGGCTGGAAGTTTGAAACCAGCAGATGCTGGAGGGAAAAAGATGGGGGCTTTCTACTCCCATGAAGAGGTACCGTCTCACCCGTCTCACAAACACACAGGAGCAGCTCTACCCTGTCCTGTCAGGGATCGGGATGCGTCGGCATCGGCTGGATGGCACCGAGGTATCAAGCTGTCCCTTACTCTGGTGGCTGGGTGTCACAGATGGTGCGTGCTTAACCTGAAGGTTCATGCCTCAAATCCACCCAGCACCTCGGTGGGAGGACGTCTCTGAGTCCATTGCCATGAGATGACCATCCCCGGACACCCTGTGGAGCGCCGGTGCGCCGCAAGGGCCATGCCATCGTGCGGCGGGATTGGCTCCACAGCGATGGCTTTGGTTCGGGTTTGAGCTTGGCACGCAAGGGGTCCCCAGGAGTCGGAATGAACCCCAAGGCTGGTGGTTTGGGTCTGGATCCCTTATAAGGACCCAGTCAGGTCTGGCACTGTCCTGAGGGGATCCTTCTGTGGCCTCCAATTAGCTCGATCCAAATTAGTTGAATTACAAATCCTAACATAAACTCACAGCCCAAGGGAGAAAGCTTGAGTCTGCAGCCACGCTGCCACACAAGTCTCCTTATTAAATCAGAATTGCCCGGGAGTTCCCAGAACGCCCCAACTGCAGCGTGAAACACCGAAGGCAAACATCAGGAAGAACTTCTTCCAGAGGCATTCTGCCCCCTAAAAAGAGCGAAAACCAGCAGAGGAAAGAGTTTCTTCTCCTGAAAAGGAGAAGGTTCCCTCCCACCTGCCTGCCAGAGGCGAGGGACAGGCTGGGGTGACTGATGCTCCCTGGCAACCCAAGCGGGGAGCTGGTCCCCACTGCCTGCCATGACCCTTCCTCACTTGGCAGCTGCTCTGCCCTCGTCAAGGACGGGTGAGCAGCTGACAAGGGTGTGAGCCAGGAAGGAGGGCGTGTTTGCTGAGGACTTTCTGGGCGAGGGAGGTAAACCCTCACATTCAGGCCAGGATTACAGAGATCCGAGGCCTTTCTTCACCGTAGGTCCCAAATCCCGTGTGTGGTGTGGGAAAGTGCCCTCCCTGGCCTGGCCTGGCCTGTGCCTTCACCTCATTCGGCCACCGAGGCCGTGGTTGCTCCACTGAGCCTGAGTCACTCTTTGGGGAGCCAGAGCCAAGGTGGGGACCAGAGATTCCGCATTACTGCAAAGGACTAGTCAGCGATTCTAGGAGAGGCCTGAGGTCGGTGGGAGGGCAGAGAGTCCTCCAGAAGGGGTGGGAGTCTGTGTGCAGGTTCCCTGCTTCTCAGGGTGGCAGTGGGGGTGGGGGGTGGTACATAGAGCCGCCCCTGCTGGCCTCCCCTCTGGGCAGGAGTTTCTCTGTGTGCTTCATGTCCTTTGTTTTAATGCTTCAAATATTGTACTGGCCTTTTCCCAAAGGAACAGGCAGTGTCAAACACGGATGGAGATGGTCCAAGAGACCGAGTGGTCATCTAAAACTCAGCGCGGTGACATTCGGCCCCTTGTCTGCCAGCGTGGCAATGGTGGATTTCAGTGGGAGTGTTACATTATTGATACCCCTGGTGCAGGCTTTCTTAATTTATGTAATAAGATCAGTGTCTCCAACTGACTCTCCCTGGCGTTGTGCAGACTGCTGAACTCCCCCGACGGAGGCGGGGGCAGGGAGTGGCTATTTGCCAACAGCTTTGGAAGCAGTTGATTGTGCCCTTCTTAAACTCGGTTTAAAATTGGCTTTGCTATGACCTAGCTGAAATGTGAATGCAGTGTCACTCCTCTAAGGAGTCCGAGTAGCTGGAGTGGTTACACGTTGAGCTGCTAACTACAAGGTCAGCTGTTCAAAACCACCTGCTGCTCAGAGGGAGGAAGATGGGACTTTCTACTCCCGTGAACCGTCAGTCTCGGAAGCTCACAGGGACAGTTCTGCCCGTCCTACAGGGCCGCTATGAGTGGGCATCGACTCGTTGGCAGGGAGCGAGATGACTCTTCTGGGGTTTTTTGCTTTTTTTCTTTTTAATGAGAAAAGCAAGAATAACACAACTTTCCTCTAGCTCTTTGGTGCCTCCTTCACCCCACTATCATGACCTCAATTCTACTTACAAATCGGATCAGACCAGAGCATGCACTCTGCTGCAGATAAGAGCCTGAAGCACAGGAAATCCATGACAGATAAACCCCTCAGGGCCAACAAGGAGAGTAGAGATACCAGGAGGATTAGGGGATGGTGGAGGGCGAAAGGGGGAATGGATCACAAGGATCAATCTATACCCCCCTCCCAGGGGGTAGAATAATGGAAAAGTGGGTAAGGGGTGATGGAAGACAATGGAAGATATGGAAATAATAATCTATAACTTATCAAGGGTTCATGGGGGGAGGGGAAAGAAATGGGGAGCTGATTTCAGGGGCACAAGTGGGATGAGAATGCAATGATGATGGCAGCATATGTGCAAATGTGCTTGACACACTGGAGGAACGTATGGATTGTGATAAGAGATGTAAGAGCCCCCAGTAAAAGTATTAAAAGAAAAGAAAAGCGAACTGTGTCCTGTGGCTCCTCTCTCGCTGCCGGGGTAAGGTGTCTCTGAAGGCTGCCACACAGGCAGCCACAGCAGTCGGCCGCTCGTGTGCATTTAAATGAACCCTTGACGACTATGTCCTTCTTGGACAACCCCTGTGGTAAGTGGCACAGAGCTTCCTGGAGCACCTGGGATAGACACACGTGTGTCCCATCGCACCACCTGCAGAAGCCGGAGGATGGACGACTGACCCTCGGTAGGGAAACGGCGCGACTAAACCCCGGTAGGCACAGACCCAGGAACAGGGCATGCCCCTGAAGAAGGACCATTGTTCATCACCTCATGCCATGGGCAAAGGTGGAAGAGGGTTTGCTGAGTGAAGTTCGTTGGTCCCGTCAAGCCAAATACGGTACGAGACCCCGGGTGTACAATTTAAAAATCAAGAATAATCGTCTTCGTGCAGAAAGAAGTGGACCTTGGTGGTTATGGAGAAGCTGGGGTGACGGGGGGAGGGAGAATGAGGGGGGAGGATGAAAAGCATGTCCCTCAAGTCTCAGGAGGCTGCTGGAGGCGCGTGTGCGGCAGCGGCTGTGTGATGGAGGGTCCCTCAACATACATGTCGACACGGCGTCTGTTAGTGGGCCTGTCACTCGTGGAGGGCTGCTGATGTAGCACTAGCACTGCTGGGCAGGAGGGACAGAGAGAAGGTCAAAGCAAGTTTCACAGCTGACCTCCGTGCCAGGCTTTAATTTTGTGTAGGCTGTTTGAGGCTAACTGGCTGTGAGGGTTGATCCCAGCAGGCCTGAAACGGGCTTGAGTTATTTTCCTGAATCAACGATGTGGCTGCAGGGCTCTGATCCCTGGGGAAGGCATGGAGTGCCATCGAGAAGGCCATGAGACAGCCACAGGGCCCCAGGGAATTTCAGGACAGCCTGTGCCAGCTTATCAGCGTGGTTCATTGATAAGAGTGGATTGCTGGCTTCCTGGTCTTGTGAGACCCTCTCCCCAGCCCCAAAGGACAGGGAGTCAGCCAGTTGGGGAACTGCTGCTTGGGTGTTGGTATGAAGTAGAACCCAGGCTCAGAGGAGGGGACTGTGGAGACAGAGAGAGACATAGAAGAAGAAGAATCAACAAGACTGGTGGCGGGAGCCTCGGTGGTGTGGGAGCTATATGCATGAGACTGCTGACCACAAAGTGAGGGATGAGATCCGGGTGGGACAGAGCAGCTTCTGTGGAGAAAGGGCAGAGGCTTGACATGATCAACCCTGGGCGTCGCTAGCTCGCCACAGAGCCGCGGTTCAGCTTGGAGCCTGAGACCGAACTTCTTTGACCCTCAACTTTCTCACCAGTGCACCGGGCAAACTACACCCTTGACGGAAGCGGGGGGGCTGCCGTGAAGGTGACAAAATGGCTCATTGGTGACTGTGTGCTCACCGTGGCTGTAGGTTGATGGCCAGAAGTGGGAAGTGGCGGAGAAATCGAAGCTGACCCCAAGGTGATGTTCTAGGAAGCCAGGGCACCAGAGGCACGGCAGCAGAAGGAACCTGTTCTCACGCGTTAAGCCTTTTCCATCGAATCCATGCCCACTCAGGGCAGTGCGTCTGTGCGGGGCAGAAGCCTGCTCCGGTTGCGCTGTGGTCCTTTGGAAGCACATTCCGAGACCTTCTCCCGGGGCTTTGCTGGGGAGGTTGGAACCACCAGCCTTTCAGGGGGTGGTCGAGCGCATCACCGTTTGCGCTACCCAGATTCCCCGTTACTCCCGTTAAAAAAAAAACTAAGAAATCTCATTACCATGGACAGAGTAGACCTGCCCCCTGTGGGTTTCCAAGGCTGTAAACTGGAGCGCTGGCGCGTCCGAACCTTGCAGCTAGCTAATAACTCACTATGCCACCAAGGCTTCCCCCCCTCGTAATGTGCCCCAGCCATCAGAGGCTTGGTGCACCATCCTGCTTTTCCAAAGCAGGAGGCAGGGGTTCAGAGAGGCCAAGGTCCTTGCCCGAGGTCAGACCGCTAGTAGCGGCAGCACGGAAATTGAAACCCAAGTCTGTCTCGGTCCAAAGCCCAAGACTTTCCCACGGAACAAATCACCCTGTCTGCCCAACCCAGAGTTAATGGAAGGCAGGAGCGTCGTGGAGGGATAAGCTAGGTGATGAACAGCACGCGGGCACCATGCCCTGCCTGGAGCAAGGTACAAGAATGAGTTGCTGGATCTGGGGACACCAAGGTCAATTGGCATAACAGGACTCACAAAGGCAGTGTTCTTGGGCTGAGTAAGGACCCAGGTGGTCAAAGCTACTGAGCAGCTTCCTAAGGTGCACATTGTGCTCTCTCCCCAGCCAAAGGGAAGAAGGGTGCTGAACACAGAAAGACGCGTGGGAAACCAGTAGTCCAAAGGACTGCCAGCCCTTGCCAACGTCAGCCTCCAAGACCAGAAGAACTAGATGGTGCCACCTCCAACTGCTCTGGAAAGGATCACAGGAGAAGGGCCTGGGGAGACTGGGAGGAAATGCGAACGAGAACTCAAATTCATAAAGAGGACCGGCTTCTGAGCTGACCTCTCTGCCTTGAACTGGACTGGCCCGGCACCGCTCCTTGGAAGGCACTGCTCGGATAGGACTTTTTTTTTAAGACACCTTAATGAGACGAAGGTGAGAGAACGTATCGGCCACCCTCCACTGATGGCAGAGACGTGTCTAAGCATGCTTTGTTTTGAAGAAACCAAGGCATGTATGAGCTGGAGCCAGACTAGCAATAGATCTTACTTCCTTCAGACTCTGTCTCCTGGGGCCACTATGAGAGTCAACAGGACGACGTGGTGGGTTGGGGCTCAGCCTGGCTGAAGGCAGGGTACTGGGGTGCTGAGTTAGCAGGGTTGTTGGGGCATGGTGAATGTGCGGTTGGTGCAGTAACCAATCTCCTAACACCATTCCCGTTCCCTGGGCAGGACAGATGCCAGAGGCACAGAGAGAGACCTGTAGCTGCTGTTTATTGAGACACAGGCACAGACCAAGGAGTGGGGTGCAGAGAGATACAGGGTGGAGGTCTGGTGGGAGGCTGGGGAGGTGAAGGGCTCTTGGGGAGAACCTTTCCCGATTTCCCATTCTCCTCCCTCAACCTGCCCTGAGCTGGGAGCAGATGAACCACGGAGGTGAGGAAGCCAAGGTGGCCTAGGAAACGCAGCCTCCTCCTCGTGGTCAGCCCCCAAACACGGCACCCAGGCGAGGACTCCAGCCGCCCCTCCCAGCCCATCGCACCACCAAGGGGAAAACCAAAGAGAGAGAGTTGAGCCCTTCCTCAAATGAAAATGGCATGCATACCAAATAGTCTGGTATGCACACCCCTGAGATCTTTGGGCCTCTGGGCTGTCCCTGCTCATGAGGAAAGTGGGTAGGGAGGGCTGCAGAGGCGGGTGTGTAGAGCAGGGACAGGCTTTCAGGGGCCCAGGGAGGCCTAGCCGCTAATACCTCCGGTTGGATGTCTTGATGGTAGTGGTCTTCCGCAGGATGGAGGTACCTCCAGAGGCCACACCCCCTTTGGCAGAGCCGTAGCCCACATTGGTGCTGAACCCACCTTTGATACCTCCCCCGCCCCAGGACATGCCACCCCCGATGCCAGCCGAGCCACCTCCGCTCACAGACGTGGAGTTGCCGGTCACGGCTGCAAGGCAAGGGGGTCTGGGTTAGGCAGGGTAGCTGTACCCCGAAAGCACCCAGGAGTCAGTGAGCAGAGGGAACAGAGAGAGGAGCCCGGGGTGGGAAGCACGGTTTCTGGGAGTACCCCTCCCCCCAGAATCTGCCCCAGGAGCAACCATGAAGGGGGTGCACTTGAGGCCCAGCCCGCCGAGGGCTGGAGCAGCAGGGTACTCACAAATGCTCACGGCACTCTGACATTCCCCGGACATCCTGAAGGAGACAGAAAGGTTACCAGAGGGTCAGGGGCCCCACGAGGCCCCACGAGCCAGAGAGAAAACTCTCTCCAAGACTCCCTCCCTCTGCCTTTCCACCGGGTCCATTCAGTAAGGCGGCTCCCAAGAGCCGTGGCCTGGATGGGGAGCAGAAAATGATTGCGCATGTGCATGCATGCGCGCCACACACGCAATGGATGTTACTCCGCGGTCAAGAGTGCCGCAGCTGTTGCATGCTAAAACCTGCATCACCCCTGACTCCGTCACGCCAAGTGACGCTTGCCATACCCAAAGGACACCCATCCGCGTCCACGTATGTCCACGTACGTGGACGATCGGAGCAGGCTAAGGCGTCGTGCGTAGAGACTCACGTGGTTGCGGGTTCCTGGGGAGCTAGGGAAATGCTAAACTCCCTGCCATCGAGTTAATGCCAACGCAGAGTGACCCCCATAGGAAAGTGGAAGAACTGTCCTTGTGCAATCTTCTAAGGGAGGAGAAAGCCTCGTTCTCCCGGGAGAGACTCCCAGTGGATTCCAACTGTCAGCCTGCTGATGAGTGGCTCAAGAGTCGCCCGCTACTCGACCGGAGTTCAGACGGGCACACCCTGCTGGTGTCGCTGGGGGGGCAAAGCTGCCATTGGTGGTGGCCTCTGCTCTCACCCAGCCTCACCAGTTGGTAGCGACCCCCCAGGTTAAGAGTGGGGTGTTTGTGCAGCCAAAGGGAATGGCAGGTGAAGGGAGCACTGAGGGAGTGGGCCGTGGCGGGGTAGTCCCTCTCCATAGTCCCACCTCCTGGTGCCCCTGCCTTCACTCTCAGCCGAACCAGACACTTTGACCTGGTAGCACAGGGCCGTCCCCCGACTTGGGGGAAGAAGGGCCACCCACCGGCTCTCCTCGCCCTCCAGCAGCGTCCTGTAGGTGGCGATCTCTATGTCCAGGGACAGCTTGACGTTCATCAGCGCCTGGTAGTCACGCAGCAGCCGGGCCAGCTCCTCCTTGGCCTGGTGCAGGGCCACATCCAGGTCTCCAAACTTCTTCTGAGCATCCTTGAGCGCCAGATCCCCACGTTGCTCTGCGTCAGCGATGGCGGCCTGCAGCTGCTGGCACTGCCCAGGGAGGGAGGAGCGTCAGAAACATCCCACCCGGGGCCCTGCCTTCCCGCCAGGAACCACCGTCCCCACCCCTTCACCCCAATGGAATGAGGAAGAAGGGCCGGAGAAGCAGTCACCGTCAAAAAGAGAAGACGCTGTCGCACCCACAGAGTGACCTAAGGCAAAGTCCTAACTCCCATCTCTCCCACCAGGAGGCAGCTCTGCCCAGTGCTGGCAGAGAGAGTGTAAGAGACCAGGCATGGACATCAGCAGGAGGCAAATGCTTCGCTCTGGTCGGAGAAGTCTGCCCTAGATGGGGCCAGCAGTTGTGACCTGAATCTGGGCCCTCAACCTCCTGGTCTGACCTCCTGGAGGTAGGACCAATCTCCTTGGTGGACGGCATCCCTCCCACTCTACCAAGTCTTCCCCCTACCTGGGCCTTCTGTCTCTGTGTAAGGAGTGTTAATCTTGGTGGCTCCGCGCGTGTGTGTGTGTGTGTGTGTGTGTGTGTGTGTGTGTGTGTGTGTTTCACCAGAAGAACATCCGACCACCAACTGCCCCCAGGTCAGCCCCCCAGCCCCCAGGCAGTCCTAGGCCCACCTGCTTTTTGGCTGCGTCCACCTCCCCCTGCAGCCTCTGCACAGTACGGGTGAGCTCAGAAATCTCGTTCTTGGTGTCCCGCAGGTTGTCTCCATGTTTGCTGGCTGTCACCTGAAGCTCCTCATACTGGAGACCAAAGCAATGACCGTGAGGCGTTGGATCATTCCCGGGCCACATGCATAAGCACGGGGCCCGGGGCCCATTCCCCAGGGTCTAGCCACTCGGGCCGCTCACAATCGCTGGCTGAAACACCCGAGCCCTGCAGTCCTTCTCCCCACCTTGGTCTGGTACCAGGACTCTGCTTCAGCTCTGCTGCGGTTGGCGATGTCCTCGTACTGGGCCTTGACCTCAGCGATGATGCTGTCCAGGTCCAGGCTGCGGTTGTTGTCCATGGACAGCACCACGTTGGTGTCAGACACGTGGGTCTGCACTTGGCTCCTCTCCTGCAGAAGCAGAAATCGCTGTCACCTGCGCCCCTGCCCCACGCCCCAGGGGCGCCATGGCAGGGTGGAGGACAAGACTTGCCCTGGGCATGTGGAGGCCTGTGCTCCCCTCCATAGCTAGCCTAGAAGGAAGCCCACAGGTGCCAGGAGAAGCCTCCTTCTCCCCACCTTGTCCTCATCCTGATGTATCGTCTTTCTCCTCCAGGACCATCCTGCCGGCAGCAGTGTCTGCAAGCATCACATCCCCCCACCACCACCACCAATACACACATACACACACACACACACACACCCTGCCACGGCTCCTCAGGTTAGGCTCGCTCCACAAACACATGTCAGACTGTGGTCCTGGGGGAACTCCACTTGGAAGTGTTTTCAATAAGGAGACAGGAGCCTGCCTACTAGACACCCCCATAGAGGAGCTCTGGGAGCATAATGTGCTATGCATCCAGCTGCTAAACCACAGGGTCCATGGTTCGGGCTCACCAGCTGCTCACCAGCTGCTCCATGGGGGAAAGAGGGACAGCCTACTGAGGGAAAGATTTGCCCACAGGAGCAGCTCTCCTCTGTCCTGTAGGGTTGCCAGGAGTCTGGACCGACGTGATGGCGGTGGTTTTGGTGTGGGTTTTAAGACAGCCCGTGAGCAGATACGGCGGTGATGGTCTTGCTCACACAAAAGAAAAGGAAAGGTCAGACTTCCCAAAGAGTGAGAGATGTTGAAAGTGGAAAGGCAAGAGTCCTGCGAATGAAGATGTGTGTGTCGGCCACCTCAGGTATGGTGCAAATGACCAATATCCTTGGTTACTAACTAAAAGGTTGGAGGTTTGATTCCACCTGGGAGTCTTGGAAGAAAGTCTTGACCATCTACCAAAAGACCAGCCACTGCAGAGCCAATGGGGCAAGTCCTCCTGTGACACACACGTGGTCACCATGCATCAGAGTCGACTCCATGGCGACAGGTGCCGGTAGTCTCTTCCAAGAAACCGGAGACACCCCCTCCGCCCTCAAGGGACACAAGATAGCAGAGACGATCTCGGGGAGAACAAAAGGCTGACGTGACATCTGAGATCCAGCGACCAGGCCAGAGAGGCATCCACTGGATTTCCTAACGCGGAAGACATTCCAGGGATGCATAGCTCACCCTCCAGATTTCCAGTGGAGGTCTGGCTTAGCCAAAACCAGACCATGGGAACCACTTCTGAATGCCCTGTTGATGGTGCAGGTGCGGCAGCCAGGGAGGTGTTTCTCTCGCCATGGCTTCTACCCACTGAGGGACAATGAGTAACTTGGACAGGAAGCAGTCCGAGCTCGGTCCCTAGCTTGCCCTCCCTCTCCACCTGTCCACCTGTTTCTCTTCATACAGCGAGTGAATCCCACAACCACGTGTCGTTCCGCAGACACACAACACTCTTCGATTGGGGCCATGACGTGGCACAGGTTGGGACCCCTGGCTGGCGGGCCCTTTCCACACCTCCTGTAGAAACCCCACCCAGCCTGTAGACAGCATGGTCCAATACAAAAGGCATCTCCTCTAAAGACTCCTCCACGCCCCTCAGCACCTTGACCCCATCACTGGACTGCAGGACCCCCAGCAGCACTGTTTGTTGTCCCGTGGAAAACCAAACCCACTGCCATCCAGTGGGTTCCAGTGGTCTCCGTGTTTGCCTGAGACACGATGGGCCAGGGAGAATTTCTGAGACTTTCCAGCTTCATGAGCGTGGACAGCCCCTGCGGGTTCCAAGTCGTTTGCATCTTTACTGGATCAGACAGCCTCATCTTTCTCCTTCAGAGCCACGGGCGGGCTCAAACCCTGACCTTGCGCTTAGTAGCTCAGTGAGTTATCATTAAGAAAAGGGTCAAGGTTTGCTCTTCTACCAATTCGGTCGCGGTCAGCCTTCCCGGGGCGATCCTGGAGGCCGTGCGTGAATGGACACAGATCCTCCCAGCCCACGGAGGGGCTCACCATTTCAAAGAGGTGCTGAAAGAAGTCGATCTCGTCTGTCAGGGCGCCCGCTCTGCCATGCAGATCCATTCGGCCCATGTAGGCTGCATCCACATCCTGGGGGGCAGGGCAGAGAGCAGGCTCGGTCCACGGGGCTTTCACTTCTCCCAGGTAACCCAGCACCCTAGGAACCGAAGGGCCACCTCTCCCCACTCCTGGTGCCCCACTCACCTTCTTGAGCACCACAAACTCGTTCTCCGCAGCAGTGCGCTTATTGATCTCATCCTCATACCTGTTAGCACAGGAAGACTCAGGCCAGGGGCGGCTCAAACGAAAACACAACAACAACTACCAACCCACTACCCTGGGGCCAGTTCTGACTCCCTGGGCAACCCCATGTGCAACAGAGTCCCAGTGGTGTTCTTTGCGGGAACCCTGTGTTTTTCTTCATCAATACCACTGAGTGGGTTCAAACTTAGAACCTTTCAGTAGGGAGTCAGGTGCAAACTGCTGTTCCACCCAGGGACCTAGGTTCAGCCCTGTTCTGCCTCCCAGGCATTGGACACACTCCATTGTAAGGAAGACTCGATGGTCCCACATCAGCCAAGCTTTCCTTTGGGACTCTGCTCTTTCAGGCTCCCAACCAGTGGAGGAACTTAGGATTCTGTCTCAGCTTCAATATTCTCTCCTCCCCAGCCCTTTAGAGGAAAGGGGCTCGGCATTTGTGCAATGCCACGGCGATCAGAGATGCCATCCCATTGGATTGGAGCCCTGAGGAGGCTCCACGCGGACAGGGGGAGGATGGTGTGTCAATCGAGGGTAACCTTTGTCTGCACTTGCAACACACACTCATCTGAAGAGATGGGCCGCTCTGGCTGCCACCCGTGTCACAGGATGTAGAAAGTCCTTTAAAGGGTACCCTCAGAGTGTGGGTACGCTTGCCATGCCCTCGTCACACAAACGGCCAAACCATCTCTGCATCTGGATCTGAGTAAACTGGACTTGTACAACTTAAGATGTTCATGGGACGATAGACAGTCGAAACAGGCTGGGTGTTTTGTGGTCGCGAGGAATCATTGTTTAAAAGCTCTAGGTGTTTCTGGGGGTTAGGAAAGAAGTGGGAGGAAGGGAAACAGGAGACCCGGGGATAGGTGAGGGTACGTGGAGGGGGTCACGAGGAGATGCGTTGAAACAAAGTGCACACGAATTACGGATGGTAAGACCGATGGTCTGCTCTGTAAACTTTTACCTAGTTCATCGTTGAAAGGTTTTCTTTTATGTTTTAGGTGTAACTCAGGGTTGTTTTCATGGTTTACGAAGTGTATGGACACCTTCTGGTAAAATACTTGGGAATGGAAGGACAGGATGGCTGGGATCTCAGGAAAGGTGGGCAGATAAAGCCAGATTCACTGTGAGCTGATCATGATGAAAGAGGTATGATGACAACGTGGGGAGTCATTGTATAATCCTCTCTCCTTTCGCAAACATTTGCCGTTTCTGTACTAACATGATGAAGCTATCGCAAGCCACCATGACAGTCCAGGGGGCAGGGTGTCTGGCACCTAAGTGCCCAGAGGAGCCATCTCTGCCTGTGATACCCGTGCTAGTCCCTACCACCACCCCCTACCCTCCACCCCCACCACCACCACCCCATGGCCTGGCCTAGCTAGCTCCCTTACTTGTTCTTGAAGTCCTCAACGAGGTCCCCCATGTTCCTCAGCTCTGAATCCAGCCTGCCCCTCTCCCCCTGGATCTTGTCCAGTGTTCTCCGCAGGTTGCTCAGGTAGGCCTCAAAGAGGGGCTCCAAGTTGCTCCTGGTGGTGCCCGCACTCTGGCCCTGCTCCTGCAGCAGCGCCCACTTGGTCTCCAGCACCTTGTTCTGCTGCTCCAGGAACCGCACCTGAGCCAAGCAAAGAAGGTGGATCCTAAGAGGGCCCAGGCCAGAGGGCCCCCGCTGTCACCACCAGGCACAGGCCAGGGCATCAGAAGGCCCGTGCCAGGCTGACACCTTGCTGAGGGGCTCAGCTTGGCTGAAACGGTGGCCGTGCCATCTGAGGAAGGAACTCTGGAGAGATAACTGAAGTAAGCTGCCTAGCCGGCCATTCATGAGCTAGAGGCCGTAGCTAAGTCACCTCTCTCTAGCTCTGCTTGCTCACGGTCCTGAAGAACTGGCCTAGATAAGGGTTTCAGACCCTAACTCTGCACAGGAACAGCTGTTAAAACGCAAATGTGTGCATGTGTGTATAAGTATATATGTGTACACACATATGTGCATATGTACATATACATGTTGGGGGGTGCATACACATATTTTGTGCGGGGGCACATATATGTATATGCACATGTTTATGTGTATACACATGTATATGTCCATGCACATGTTCGTGTGTGCATACACATGCATGTGTGCGTGTACGCGTTTTATGTGTGTGCACGTATGTATATGTAAATGCACGTTTCTG